ATAGAGCCTAATGAAACTACTAAGTAATATTTAAACACTGGAATTGAGAAAACTGTACATTTAGTCATATTTATATTAGAATAGTCCATAGTGAAAAGTCTCATTTATCATACCTCAGCATTTTCCAAAGGATACAATTGGTAAGACTACACATTACTTATCACTCATAAGCAACCCATTGGTTCTATCTTATTTATTTTAATGACTTCTGTCAAGAATGTGTCACTGGTTGTGTCTCTCAGATTATCCATCATGATAACAGCATCACAGTCTTTTCATTAAAAGTAGTAGAGCTGACATAAGAGCTCTTTAAGTCTATTTGTTTCAAGAAGTCCCCTTCTCCATAATTACAAACTTATACTTATTAATTTTCCTACTATATTACCTTATAAAGCTATCAAATCATAAAAAGAAGCAATGTGATCATGGATGTCCTCTTATATAATTGGACTATTTGGTTTTTGATAGTTGAACTTATACAAGGTAAGTTACAGGAAACAAATTAGAAAAAATTCTATATAGAAAATATTTTATAAAGAATAGTGTATCCTCAATCATATCACAAACCTGATAATAGAGATTGCACAGCCAGTGGTCCAAGTCCAGGCAAATCAAATCTTCAATTTTCCTAAAACTTCTGGATTTCCGGTCATAATGTCCTCGGAGAAGGGGACACTTGAATTTTCCTTCCACTACGTCCAAGTTGTTATCACACAGGGGAAAGACTGCCCAGCCCACAGCCTGGCCAAGGCAGGCATGTTTCCCACGAAGGAGAAAGAGTTCAAATAAGAAAGCTATGCCAGGGTTCACATCTTTCCTTTGGGATAGTACCTAGGAAAGACATTAAGACAAGAGAAGATTGGGATGCTTATATGTTTAGAAACACTATACATTCAGTAAGGCCTACAGACAATTTAGAATTCAGTAAAAAGTCAGTCTGCACTCCTGTTTTTGACCCTTAAAAATTCACCCACTGGATACGTTTACATAAATAACTCTTCCAGTCACAGGTAATTTGCAATTATGAAAGTGTGACCTGCCTACCAGAAGATTTTATATTTTATGAGCTTTAGAAATAAACTTTGTAATATTAAGTAACATGGTATTTGACTGAGCTGGTCCCTCTATTATTGTATGGTTTGAATATGTTCCCTAAAATTTCATGTGTTAGACACTTAATTCCCTAATTCATATGGTATTTAGAAGTGGTACTTTTGGGAGATAATGAGGATTAGATGAGGTCATTAGGATGGCATTAGTGGCTTTACAGGAACAGAGAACTTAGCTAGCATGCTGGCTCCATCAGTACATGATGCCCTCCGAGATGTTATCATGCCATTAGGAAGACCTTTACCAGAGACCAGCACTATGTTCTTAGTGCCTCCAGAATGTGAGCCTAATAAAATTCTATTCTTTTTCAATTAAAAAAAAGAATAGTGTATCCTTTTCAAAAATTTTTTTTTTTGAGGGGAGGGTAATCTGGGATTGAACTCAGGGGCACTCATCCACTAAGCCACATCCCCAGCACTATTTTGTATTTTATTTAGACACAGGGTCTCACTGAGGTGCTTAGCAATTCACTGCTGCTGAGGCTGGCTTTAAACTCTCGATTCTCCTGCCTTATTCTCCCCAGGTGCTAGGATTATAGGTATACACCACCATGCCCAGCTCAATTTGATTTTTAACATGGTTAAATTAAGTGATTACTTCTGGATCTTTAGAGGTGGATGTAAAGTCTGAAAATACACAAACATTCATAAAAAATAATCACTGACATGCTGAATATATTGTCTATCAGTAGCAATTTGTAGTTCATTAAGCTATGCAAAACAGCAATAAACAATTTGCATTAAAGCAACATTCCCATCAGTCACTGCACATGCATCTGTCACATAACACCTCAATGATTTCTGTGTCCAGTTTTCATGACAGAAATCAGAACTTTATCCAGGGCCTTCAATCTATTATCCAGATACCGCTAATAACCCAGGGGATTCAATCTATTACAAAGATATTTACATTACAGACTTTATAGCCACTGGTATATTAAGATTTACCCACTATACATCTGATTAATATTTCACCATTTTTATACATACAAGGAAACAGATAACCAAAACAGTAAGATATTGAAGAAAATAACAAAATTATATCATCTTTGTCTTGAAAATTTTTCACATCAAAACATTTTGCTGCAAATAAAAGTAATTTGTTTTGTTTTGCTACACAGTATAGAGATTAAATTTGGGGCCTAGCACAAACACATCCTCTACTGCTGAGCTACACCCCAAATCCCCTTTTTATT